TCACGTGCATAACTTAAGCGTTTAGGTGTGATAAGTATATCTCTATAAAATATTTTTTATATATTCAGAAGAAAAACAATTAATCATTAAAAAGAAAAAAGTTTTTTTTTATTTACCTAGCCATATCAAAAGCACTATCATTAAAAAGATCTAAACAAAGTTCATGTGATCGTTGTAAAATGCTCACTATAATAATAATAATAATATATTTAAAAGAGATTCATAAAAGAAAGTCTTCTATTACCAGCTCGAATAGTTAATCGATCAATATGTTTAAGAATATAATTAAGAAAAAGTGTAAAATTAGTTAAACCATTATCAATCATATCACTTTGAAAAAGAGGTGTTGTGTCTGATGTATTATCATTAGATTCTGTGCTCATAAATGAAAGAAAACCAAGGTCACATAATTGCCTACAATAAAATTTATAAATATAAGAGAATAATTACAAAATAAAAAAAATTGTTTTATTAAATAACTTTACTTATAAATTTTAAATTTCTATCAATTAAAAAAAAAATGATTTTTCTAGTTTTCTCTCTTATGATTCGAATTTTCATATAACATCGACAGGATTAAAATGTGCAGCGCAATATACTTCTTGTTGGCAATCAAAGGAAGTTTTATCTATTCTAGAACATATTTCTTCAACGTGTTTTAACTTAATTTTCCATAAATGCAGTAAGAAAGTTCCTCGGCACGACGTTATTGATATACAGTCTTTGATCGCCTATCAAGAATGTCTGCGAGGGCCTCTCGCTAGCGTTTGTCTCAGTCAAAAAAATAAATTCTGTCTGACAAACTATTTTATGAATAGTACACAGGCTACGTCCTTGGTATGAAACATCTTCCTAAACTGAAATCATCATTTATGAGATGATAAGACTTTCGAATTAGTCATAGTGTCAAATTTAGCGAAATAAATATTTATATATTGTAAAAAAAGTAGAGCAATGAGTTTAATGCATGTTTAGTTATATACACCGCAATCTGGTTTTTATGCAAAATGAAAATCAACAGGCATTATATCAAAAACCTTTGAGACTTTTAGTATTCTAAGGCAGGAGAGCTCTTCGTTAAGTTTTCATTGATTTTTTTTTAATCTTCAATTCATTCTAATGTCAAGAATATATTAGATATGACGAACACTTAAACCCAGAGATTCATCATATAGGAACATAGAATTTTGTAACAACGTTTGATTGAAAATTATACTACTCTTCAATCCTTAGATCATCGCAACAAAAGAGTAGCAACTTCAAGTTATGTGTCGAGAAAATAAAACATACCACAGACTATTGTACAGTGCTTCGAACAGCTAATAGCAAAATTCTGTTAACTTCTAGGGTGAGCATCGAAGTAGATGAGAACTGAATCAAAGACATTCAATTAGTTGTTATAAAGTATCTCGAGCTATTTCATATTTATCAACAAATATATATCGACTTCTGTGCATTGAAAAACCATAGCTTGACATTGACTAGTCTCATCTGGTATTTTATTTAGCCTAGAGGTCTTCCAAAGATTGAGTTGGCTATTTGTAGAGTTTGTGATTTTTGCATTTGTTCTCAAAAATAGATCTGAGCCCTTTTGAAATTTTAAAATAGCTTTGAAAGAAAAACCGAAATTAATACTAGGTCTCATATGTGTTTTACGAAGGAACGTTTTAATCTAACCAATCGGTTAAATTAAGAAAAGTTAATGAATTGTAAGTTCTAAATATAACAGTAGTCGATAACCTATAATTCCTTAGCTTTCGTTAAATGTACCACTTCTCAGTTGAAAACATACTTTCGCTAGTAAAATAAATTCTATTTGATTTTTAGTTTATTCCAATAAAACTCAGATCTGAAATTATTTCCCTATTAGTTATAGTTTTATATATTTACAAGTTTACTTTTTCTATTTTATCAATGATAGAAATCATTGAAGAAAATCGAGAAATTTACCTGAAAGTTTGAACACATGGTGCTTCATTCGTACTCGATGAACTATAAGATAATGAATAGAAATTTAAATTAATAGAATTAATTTCTTTACTTATCAGATTGATCAATACGAATAAATAAAATAGGTTCATTAGGTACAATAGAACGAAATAATCTTAATTCATCAATATCATTTTCTGATAAGATTTCTTGATCAATAATATAAATAAATATTGGTACAATATTTTCCGTTATTTGCGTATAAATTTGTCTCATATTTAATTTTTGATTACTTGGTGTTATAACTATTTGTAAATCATCACTAAGTAATTCCAATGGTTTACGTATTTCAAGTGATGCTGTTTCTTGTTGTTCATTTTCATCATTTGAATTATCATCATCCGATAATGGATGATACTCATTAGTCCCGTTTACAATTAAATCATCACGAGGTACTGTTGCCCATGATACAGGTTTATACATAATATCAGCATTTATAAGTTCGAATGAACCGGATATATTTAAACTAGCACCGCGTACTGAATGATTCTATATGGAGAAAAAAAAACTGATTGAAATTTAATGATGTTTTTGTCAATAGAAGCAAATAAGAAAGATTTTCAATAAATCATTTATTAGAAAGAAATTAAAGATAAAATAGTTTCGTTTATAATATGATTAAGTTTATGAATTTGATAACTGATTAGATTCATGTTTATACGAGTACCCTTCAACTGAGTAAAATAGCCGGCATCAGGCCACATGATATATGAGATCTCGACATTTCAAAATATTTTTACTTTTAAACATATATTTAGTGAAATTAATTAGGTTTTGAGATGGTCTCTTATTGTTTGTTGCTGTCTATGGAAGAAACTATATGCAATACTTTTCCATATAAAGTAAAGATTTGAAGAGTGTGATAGTACTATAGAATGAAGTATATTGAACAAAATGCAAAAGAAGGTTTTTTATATAGTCTTTCTATTATTTAGTGGTGAAGTCAGGAGGTCACAAAAGCTCAGCCCTCACTTCCACCTACGACCATTTAGATGAAGATGCAGTATAAATATATTATATGTCAATCGAAGCACCGGTCTATTTACATTGGATTGTCCTTGTACGAGAAATATCACAATAGATGATATTACCTACTATTGGCATGATATTTGTTGTGCTATTCCACAATATAATAAAGACAGAAGAATAACAAATTAATTTTTTAAAATTCTGTTGTTATTTCAAAGTTAATAATTAGGATTAGTTTTTATCAGTAACTCATAAGAAATATGGTATTTTATTCTATATAAAACGTCTACTTTGAGAGTGTAAGCGAGGATAACATGCACAACTACCCCCTTCATTTTTTTTGCACAAAATCGAATTTTCAAAGTGGAATATACTAAAAGGTCAGATTTAGGATAAATGCGTCGATTCTGTTAACATTTTTCTCATCATTCTAGTCCTAAGCTATTCTACTCTATGTTCGATTCCTGATTTCGGTAAATCTTTACATCTCTAGTTTTGACATTTAATCAAATTTGATGATTTTGAATAAAATAAAACATTCTAAACGAACCTCTACCTTGATTCGAACCATTCGTACGACATCATTTTTATCGATTAATGGTGATTCAGGTAATAATTGTTCATTTAATAATTCATTAACAAAACGTGATTTTCCATTATAACTTTGTGAACAAATAATAAGTGCTAATGGACGTGTTTTTAATGCATCAAGATATTCACGATCAGATTTTGATACATATATATTACAAATTTTTTCTAAATAATAATAATAAAAACAAACATTTTCTTTGTCTTCTAGATAAAAAAAAGAAATAATTCTTCACACCTGGTGCAAGAACACGTGTATCATTTATTTCATTGTAAGATTTATCTGTTTCTTTTCGTAATCGTTGAATATGTTGACAATAATATTTATAACGTCGAATAATGTCTGCAAATTGTTGAGTTAATATTGATGAATTAATTGGTAGTGGACTAGTACTCAATGAAAGTGATGATGACGATTTTCCAGCATTAGATCTTATTGTCATCGGTCTATTTTTATCTGTCATTTCGTTTTTTCTTTTTTTTAATAATTCTTAAAACATAATCTGAAAAGAAAATCATAAAAATAAAATGAATATAATCAAAGCAAATTTTCCAATGCAAACTATTAAGAAATTATTAATAGAACTAATATATTTCTTCGAGGGTCATAAGATTGACCTTCAAGTTCTTCATATTTTTGAAATATTAACATTTATTTCATTCATTATTATATAAATATCACTGCTAGTTATATTATGAGTAATACATGCCTTTCATAGTTATGAATGAGTAATTATCTTTCTTCAGTCTTGAAATAGCCACAAAAAACAATATATATGTATCAGTAAAACTTCTCACAATACTTATATATATATAAATAAATAAAAATCTTCTCGAATTCAAACTTAAAAAATTTGCCAAAACATTTAATGTTCTTTTATTCGAGAAAGAAAAGAAGTACTTGATATCCTATAAGACTTACCTCTATCTAATGTTATATTATAAGCAAATACAAACCAACTTGTTTCTTTTCTACTTGTCAACATCAAAGGTATATTATATATATATATAAATATTGACGTCATTTTAGTAAATTTATTGTAACCGATTATATAGAAAACAGTAAAGAAAAAAAAAAAGAATTGGAACGTCTACCTTTTTGTTTCATACTCTGATGTTTTTAAGTAAACAATAGAATGAAATTTGTTGCTCGATTATTGATAATATATCAATTTCGTCGTTCATTTTCTTTCTGTTTTATTTTTTTAGATAAAATCTTGAAAATAAAGAAAAAATGTATTTTTCTTTTATCATTCTTGAGTTAATGCAAGGATATTTATTGATATATAGATTCTTTTCAAACAACAGAAGAAAAAAAACGATGAATGAATAAACAAATTAAACCAAAACCTTTAAATAACATGAAATGAAAATGTAAAATATTTAACTTGTACTGTTGTTGTTGTTGTTGCTGCTGTTGTTTTTGTTGATATTTTTTCCTCTTGCACAAATATTTATTGCTTTCGTGGTTGATTGATAAACTTTTGGTCATTATGTTTTGTATGAGTATGAATTTGATTTTTAGGATGTGTACCAGGTTTATCATGTATATTTTTTACAGCTTCAGTTGGATATGCCTTCTCAATCTAAATAAATCAATCATATCTTACAATAAATCTTCGAATGATGAGACTACTAAAATCTATTGAATTCAGTACTATATTTTAACTATAAGAGAAAAAAATCATATTGTTCAACAATTAATATTCACTACTTTGATGTGACACCATATCAATATTGATAATATTATACTGACAATGGAGGTGTTTGTACTGTAAGTTGAATTTACCAGATATTTTTGCACCAATAGAAAGCCCTCACCGCCAAACTAACAAGGTTAAAATATTAGCGGCTGTCTAGAGGGAGATATTCAGATTTTAAATTTAGGTATAAAAATGAATCAGGAAAGATTTTCTCCACTATTATAAGGACAAAACATAGTGTTGTTCGGGGCGATTATGGGGTTTGTAGGGTCCCTCTTTCATATGACCCGAACAACAC